GGTGGGGGGGAGTGGGGGGGCCGGGAGGTCCCGCCGGCGATGTCGTGGGGCAGAGCAGCGGTTTGACCCCTCTTAGGTATCGTTCACCTGCGGAGCGCTCTTTATCTTCTGTTTTCTTGCTGATTTTCGGTGTTTCGGGTGAAGCTTGCGGGGTGTGAGAGCATCTTTTTGCGCGTTAGTAGGTGCTGGGAAATGAGCTTTTGGGGCGTCCTGCAGCGCTTTAGTTAGTGCGGGTCCCTGGCTGTTCTGTGAGTCTGCAAGGGAGTTGTGCTTGTGTTGGAGACCCCCCCGGCCCCCTTTGAAATGTGTCTCGGTATTTACAACTGAGAACTTGCCTATCCAGGCGTTATCTGGCACGAGGAAGCTTGCTGTAGTGGTTTAGATGCAAATAGTTTATTATTAGTTCCTCAATATCGAATTATTATTTACCGGGGTATTATTTTATATTCTTTTGTAACTTTTATATATTAAATAATCATCCGTTGAGAAATGCTTCTGAAAAGTTGTTAAAACTCTGGCAGATATGACAGGAATGTCTCTTCACTCACTCTGCTTTAAATAGCCCTTTTTGCTGCTGTAACCACACTGCTGTCATTGTGAGTACACATTCCACATGTGAAGAAAGAAATCAAAATAAGTGATAAGCTTGTCCTTACAAAGAAAGACAATTGTGGGATCATAATGCTTCTTGAATTACTTAGTGATTGTTTTGACACTCCAAAAATATGAGTTCATAATTCAAGCAGTGGAGAAGATAATATTGCTGTGTGTTATGTGATGTCAGGCTCTTCCACAGAAAGCATCCCTGGCCTTCATAAAAATTAAATTGTTCATATATGTGGAAAAATGAAAATGTCTCAGAAACCATAGGTAGGTTCCTTCCGTGTTTTTCTCTTTTAGTATTTCTAAAGTAAGTTAAAGCTAAGAGAGTTTTTGTGGCCATGTAAAATTAACTGTGTATTGATACATTCACTTAAGGAAACTGCTAAAAACCTAATTTGCAAATAAAACCCACTGGGAAGTTGCTGTTTCTTTTTTAAAGTGAAATGTGACTCCCTTACCATGAGTTGTCAAAAGGGGGAAGGAAGACAGTTAGAATAACTGCTGAATAAATGAAAGATCTGTGTCACATTCCTGTGTGCCTGTGGTCACAGGAAAAGTGCCCTTTAATTGTGTGGGAGTCTCATAGCAGAGCTTTCATAAATGGAGCAGGCTAATCAACAGATAAATTCCCAAAGAAAGTACTTTTTTCTTAGCTTTTGGGACTGACCAAAATTAAACACTCACTTCTTTTCTGCTTTCACCTTCAAAAGTCTAAAATATTGGGTAAAGGAAGTGCTAACCTACTGCTGAGCTGGTAGGTTATCAGATAGTTCCTCAACAAACATGTTATGACCAAGCCATTTTACTATCAAATATTAGAAAGATCAACAATATTAAATTCTAGTGATGTTAACTCTAAAGCTAGTTTGAAGCTAGATCAATATTAAACCACATCTTCCCTGTGGGGGGAATGTGAATATCCTAGGATAGGACTGGTTGTTAGGTAGAACAGCTTGTGTATTTCTATTACCATACTGGTAACTTCAGTTATTCTATAGAAACATTGTTCATTATTTTTATACTAGATCTTTAATTATTTCAGTACTTGGTTAATTATGATCAATGCCTTTTTGGGTGCTTTCTGTTTTAGAAGGGAGGAAGAAGAGGCTGAAGAGCATTTCTGAATCTGTCATCTGTATTTCTTTTAAGTTGCACCCTAGTGATTCGAGTAGGATGGTAAACATTAATGTAGATTGTGGATCTAGGCCATGAATTCTTAACACTTTTTACTAAACTAGATTGGCTTTTTTCATAACTACTATATTGCAGCAGCTGTCATCTCTGCTGTCCCACTGGACTCTTAGAAATTTGGTAAAAGAGCTTATCTTCACCTGTACAATTTCTGTTGTAGTCAGCAAACTTTGGCAGTCTGTGGCTGTGCTGGACCTGGCAGTCTGTTTTTCTGTCTGCGTATTTGTTTCACAAATTATGTCAGATGAGCTTTGGAAATACTGCTTGTGGGTTGTTGGTGTCAAAAAACCAGGAGCAAACAGAAAATGTTGACACAATTAGGATTACTTACATTGTTGACTGCTCAAAGCTACAGATGCTGCAAATCAAACCAAATCTGATAGTCTTAGAAAAGCCGATACCTTATGGTTCTTCTTCAGTATTTCTTTTGGAAAGTTATGCTCACAAAGTTACAATGTTGATGACATAAAGGTAGTGTGGAAGTCAAGTCTGTCCCTGTTTTTCCTCACTTGTTCTTGCTGGCAGTCAGCAGCTGAAGGAAATTGAATCACAGCCTTTTCCGTGCTAGGGCAGTTCTCTTTCATTCTCCTTGCCACTTTCTCACTGCATAACCCAATCTGGTTTTGGAAATTACTCCTTCATCCTGAGTTGCACATTATTCTGCCGCTGTTTGGCACTGAGTGAAGGCTCTTCCTGTTACAATTTCATTTCCATTTTAAGGCATCACTGCAGCAGTATTTTGCTGTTGGAGGGGGGCTTGCTGTGATTTCCATGCAAGCCTGCTCATTCACTTCCAATCTCTATAGTGTTCTTGAATTTTAACAGATTGGTCTGTAGTTCTGTCTTTAAGTAGAGTGCATTATCTATGGCCCAGGAGAAGCAGG